TGACTTTATGCTCACATAAAGATGATTGGCTGACTTGGGCAGTTATTTGGTTGCTTTGGCTAATTATTCTTGATGCTGTGATGAAGTTTGGTTCTAGTAATTTTTTAATAAATGCATTGAAACTTGGTCCTTTTAAAATATTAGATATTTGAGAAACTTAAGGTGAAAAACAGGTTTACATGTTTTTGATTAAAATAAAAACACTCTGGGTATACATCTCAAGCTGTGATGGAGTGGCTAGTGCAGGGGTAGGTAACCTTGGCTCTTTTATGACTCGTGGACTTCAACTCCCAAGCTTGGCTGGCTCAGGAATTCTGGGAGTTGAAGTCCACGAGTCATAAAAGAGCCAAGGTTGCCTACCCCTGGGCTAGTGAAAGTACAACTAAACTTTTCAGATAATAGTGACAAAATTATAACCATACGCTTTAATATATCTTTAATATCTAAAATCATAAGAGTATGTCTAATTTATTTTGGCTATGTCATGCGTGCAAATTTATTGAAGAAGGCAATGATGCTAGGAATGGTTTGTGGAACAAGAAGAAGGGGAAGCAAAGAACATGCTGGCTTGATAATATCAAATCTGTTACAAAGTTGAACATGCAACAATTGAAAGAAGCTGTGCTTGATAGAGTAGAATGGAGAGAACTTGTCTATAAAGTCACCAAGAGTCAGACACGATCAAATGGTTAAAACAGCAATAACTTTATCTCACTGTTGAAACAGTAATCTGGTGATTGGCTGGCCATATTATTTTAATAATATAAATCCAGAATATATCATTATATGTAGAAGTCCTAATAAAAGCAATAGTGACCAGTTTTCTCTTAAAAAAAACATTGTCAGATAAATAGCTTCTGTGTTATCTTACTTTATTGCACATATTTGCTAGGAGTAATTTATCCAATAAATAACTATTCATCCAGGGTCTTTAATTCTTTCACATAGTGCAGAATTGCATGTGATAAAAAAGCTTTATTCTTAGAATGTAAGTTGTAATTCCATAACAGTGGCCAGTGTTTTGTGAATGTAATTGGTACCATTTATCAGTAACATGCTTCTGCCATTAAGATGTTTCTTTGTGACCTGATGTCCTTGGGAAGTTTTCCAGAGGTTCTGGCTATCTCTAGCAATAATACTGGTACATAGCAGCATTTCCTGTTTTGCAAGTCTGTTTCAGCCAATGTATGGGTTGTCTGCCAATTAATGCAGTCTGTTATTGGATATGATCTAGGATAGCAGTAAGACCATAGTGGCAACTACTATCATTTATAAATAGGAAAATAATGTACTTTGTGGAAAAAATTGTTTTTCTTTTTAGAGATTTAAGTACGCAAAGCAGATACCTATTGATAACTTCTTTTAAAATGAATTCTGGGAATAGGTTGCTGATTGATGCTTATGTAAACACAATAGGTACAATGTACTACTTTATTTCCACTGGTGTGAGTGAAAATAGGAATACATGTCCTAGAATTGTGTTTGTTCTCTGGACGTTTAGAAACCTGACGGAGGTCACTCCATATGAGGATTCTGCCCTAGTTTGAAAGCAGCTTCAGATCCCTGTGATCTTATAACACTGATATTGTTAAGAGCAAAACCTATTTATTTCTGGTTCAGAGACAAACATATGAAAACTGCACTAAAATAAATTATTATTTTTTATTTTGAGTACTTGATGCATGCTTTATATACTAATATCCTATTCTGAACATCTCTGAAGCATGAATACCTCAATCACTCCATCTCCTGCAGTCAAAACAATTATTACTTCCTTTTTCTTCAACTACATGTTCTGTAGAAGTTTGGTTGAATTTACGAGGAAGTTAAGAAATTTGTGGATGGTTTGCAGCTCCACAGACTTGATTCTGAGTTGCAGATAGTATTCTTGCCAAGTTCTCATTTCACTTTTTCAAGCCTGTTGTATGCTCAGGAGGAGTTACAAGGATCTGTAAAGAATTTACAAAATATGAATCAATCCTGGCTGCATTTTCCTATTCCTGCCATTGCAGCAACACTATTGGAGCTGCTGCAAAATAGTTGATATCTGCATTTTTGTTTCCCAATTCATAGTAACATTTCCACAGAAATGGAAGGATTAATACTTTTGCAGCTGGGTAGGTTCCCTTGTATCTAGATTTTTTTTTTCCTTGATAAAATGAGAGCCAGGCAAACACATGCCACATGTATTAAAATGTATACGTGGGATAGAATTTCTAATAATTCATTTTTAATGTATGTGGCGAGCATGAAGGTTTATGTTACTTCAGAAGCAGGGCATTGAGTGAATCTCTCTTTCTCTGTCCCCTCTGTCTTTCTCTTTCTGAATTCTTAAGTCACTGGGAAAGAGCACAAATTAGTTCATGATTCACTTCAGCTCTTGTTCTCTGTGGTGAATTTAAATTGTTCAATATACTGTTTTGTTGTTTTTTTAAAAAAAAACATATTTCTTGCTAAAGCAAGAAAAATGCACAATACCTTTCCCTCGACATGTGCTTTTGAAACAAAGTTTAACATTTATTGTACATACTTGGATGTTTTTTTAAAAAACATATAATTTATTGTTTTTTAATAGCTGAATTTGAAAAATCAGAGTGAGCATCTTCAAAAATATTTTCATTTTTTATTTTTCTCTGTTTATCATATATAAAGTTATATACTTTCTAAAATAAAAATAAATATATCAGGATAGAGGGAGGGAGACCATGAATTCTAGTTCTGCCTTGGTAAGCCACTTCTGAAAATCTTGCCAAGAAAACTACAGGGACTAGTCCAGGAAGTTACTAGAAGTCAACACTGATTCAAAGGCACAAAAACAAATCCTATTCCAATTATTTTTGTGATGTGTTCACTGTTGCTTCATCTGTTTGTTTTAGTTATTAAAATATATTATGAACTATAGGTAGGCCAGCTGCATATGTACAATACTGTTAGAAATCAAGAAATTCTTAAAAATTCAGCACTTCAGCACAGTATTCAGAAGTTGCTTATCTGGCTAGTACAGCTATTGGAGGTAGGCCAAACATGTGGCAATCATTTAGAATAAGAACACCTGCAGTTTATTTTTTGCTATTGGCACATGAGATAACTATCCTGTTTAATATTATGTGTTCCTTTCTGCTTTAGATTTTATATTTGTCAGAAACATTTAATGGGGGAGAGGTGGGAAAGTAAAGATCCAGATAGCTGAAACGGAACATTCTCAGCTTTATTGCTCTTAAATTACATCTTGTTCACTAATCATAATGTTGCTACTATAGATAAAAAATTCAAAAGCTTGAATGAATCTCCCTTGAGCATTTTAACTATTGTTATCCCAGGATTGTTAGCTGACAGTAGCAGAAACCTTTCCTAGCCTGCTGACTTTTTAAAGTCATTTTTTTTTATTTCATGTTGTAAACCACCAAAATGCCTTGCAGCACAATGTTCATTTGTGTCTGCTTTATTTTCTGCTTCAGTTGCTCTTTTTAATTACTTATAATTGTTAACAGCTGCTTTCTTATATGTTGAGTTAGCTAGATGTCTGGTCTTGTATTTATCTGAAATAGATAAAAGTTTTTAAATGAGTGTTAATTTCACAGGAACAAACCCCTCTGCCATCTTGGGAAGTGAGAAGTGTTAACCCCACTCATGACTGTGGAATTCTGTGTTCCTTTGTGACATTAGCTATATGGATGCTGTATCCTGTCCCAAAACATCCTGATTAGAGGTAATTTTTTTAGAAAAAATGTGAAATAGATCTTGTTGATTTGATCTGATAATTTCAGTAGAGAGCTGTCTTCAATTTGAACATGAGTCTGGAATATTTTACAACTTTACCTTTACAATGGATCAGATTTTAGATACTGTGTCATACATGTAGCTGCATTTGAATTTTTGACCATGAGAGATGCAATATACAGTTCAGTCATGTGTATGTAGACTTTTAGCCACTCTGTTAGAACAGAATGTTGGCCAGGGTATACCATTATGGAGATAGTCTGCATTTCATACCCCGTCATAATTATAACATCTATCTTATTGTGATTTTGTGGCACCATATTATGGTGATTTTATCATGGTTTTATCTTACTATTTTATCTTGTATATTGTATATACACATATATACATATACATATGCGTGTGTGTGCGCACACGCACACACACACTGAGTTTTCCCAAAAATAAGACCAGGTCTTATTATTATTATTTTTGCTTTCAAAAAAGGCACCAGGTCTTATTTTGGGGGGATGTCTTTTATACTCACCTCCGGCACTGACAGCCCTGCCCAGCTGGTCCACTTCTTCTGTGGCTGAAGGAACAGCTTCATTGTGCAGCTGCATTCCGGCCTGCATTTTGCAGTCAGGCCTTTACGGAAGGCCACTGCAGCCAAGTACCAAGCTATGGATTCAATCTATAGCTCAGTTCTTGGCTGCAGTGGCCTTCCAGAAAGGACTGTGACTGAGAAGTACAGGCCTGGCTGCAGAAGACACCGCAAAAGTGGGCTCGGCGAGGAGAGGCCTGGCTGCAAGGTAAGCACATGCGGGGTGCGTGGGGCAGCTCCACCCCCCTACCCCCACCCTAGCTTGATTTTAGGTGTGTGCCTCGCCCCAAAACTAGGGCTTATTTTTGGGGTAGGACTTGTATTAGGCCCACCCCCAAAAGTCAAGCTAGGGCTTATTTTCGGGGTAGGTCTTCCTTTCGGTGAAACACGGTATATATGCTGATGTTTTATTAAAACTTACATTTGTGTTTCCATGTATAATGTGTTTTATTATTATTGGATATCAGTGACTGCATGACCTCTGTAGATGCCATGTAGCATTATGCTGATTAGATGAATACATTTCCCAAGTTTAATATGGCCCTGTTGAGTTGAATTAAAGTGCTTACAACCTATAATCAGTCCTATAGTAGCATTAATATCGCATTTCTTAGTAACCAGTTGTCATTTGGAGACTTATCAGATTTTATACAGTTATGATGAGTAGTCTGAAGAAGTTAGTTTGTTATACAGATTGTGTTAGAATTTCAGATTGTGTGCTACTAGAATAATTTGCAGTGCTAGCAATCTTTAATTTTATTTTTTATTTGCTCAAAGGAATAGATTACTCATTATAGAAACATTTTAAGGAATGTCCTGGAATCATATTAAGTTGGGAACATATAGTATGTAAATTCTTTCCAAAATACAAGTTTTATTGCTTTGATGGAATTTAAAAATGAAAATAGTCTAATAGGAGATTAAGTAGTTCTTATATAATATTGATATTTTAATATGTATTTTTTCTATGTTTAGTTTCATTTCAATCCACCTTAATATGTATTAAATGCTCATCCTGAAGATATTGCATTCACTTTACATAGCCTTTTTTAATCAAGCAATTGTTTCTAAAACATGATGAATAGTTTCTCTTTTATATGTGATATTTCCTGCAGTGCAAGTGTACGAGGTGAAGCCAAAAATAACACTGTATGTGAATGGAGCCTTACTATCCATTACGAGGCTCTGAATTTTTCTCTTTTTCCATAATAAAAGGAAATTAAAATAATTGTCTGAGGCAAAGATTGCAGCAGTACCATTTTTGATCTCTAAAATAAAAATTTACAATTTAAATTTGTATCAGTTGTTCAGATAAACTATATATGTGTATCATTTGTCAAAAAAATTGATAGAATACAAGAATAAAAAAAATCAGAATTTTAAAAAAGAAAATTTAAAAAAAAAACTGAAGAAGTAAACAAATAAAAAAATAAGATTATAAACACCAGAAAACAATGATCAAAAAAACTACCAAGGAAAAAAAATTACTGGCAAGGCAACTTACTAAACACAAACAGGGAGCAAACACCACACTCATTTTCACTGATGATATCACCTAGTTGGGTAATTAAACATTTGCAAGCAAACAGCCAAGGTCAGAGAGCACCAAAAACTTCACAATAGCAAGAATATGTAATTGTTGTGGTTGGAAATAGCATTGTTTTAGCAATTAGAATATTTGCTAGCCATATGTCTAATTATCTCTTTTATATATTACTTGTAGTCTGTTTTCAAGATCTACTCACATGTGCTCCCCACCATCTGTAGAAAGTTAGGAATAGTGGCAGGTGATAGCCTCCCACCCTCTAAAGTCTTAGTTTCTATTTAGGGGGCATGTTTTTGTGAATGAGTGCAGTGCTACACAGACAGAGTTTAAAAGTATCTTCCATAGCTTTCTGTTTTTCTTTTTCAGTATCAAATCATTAGGGTCCACAGGCCTTTCCCTTCTTTGTATTTGAAATACTAAGACAATTTGCATTTATATATTTTTCACGTATAAATTACATAGATTCTTATATATCTGGGGTAATTGGCCATGAAATGCTAAGAAAGCATCATAGCAGCATTATTTTTGTTTTTTAAACTTCTAATGCCCTTCTGTGTGTTTTTCTTCTTTTTCATGAAGGTTAGCCGGAACAGCCTGGTAGGGGCCCATTTCCAGAGAGACGTGGATGATGCCAGAACTATGACAGGGACTGCAGTCTTGGCATTGAAGGGAGGTGATCAGTTATGGAACAGTCAAAGGAGGAAGTACCTGAAGTCAGGAAAGAAGAGGAGGAAAAGGAAGAGACAATGGTGGCAATAAGTGGAGCCTCAGAGCCAAATGAAGGTCTAGATAATTCGACACCATCTGCCAGGTATACAGGTAGGTTGGAAAAAGATACTAATGCCTTAGAGACACTTAAAGGAGCAATGGACATATGTTGAATACTTTTTTCCAGTAATTTGTTCTCAGTGGGATGACATTTTCCTTATGATTATAACAAATTTATTACAGACTTTATATATTAATTCCTAGCTTTCAAATATATTAAGAAACTTTCCTTTATTTTTGATTTGCACACTTAGTGCGCTTTGGGTCCCTTAGGTTTAGGACCCTGGAACCATGCCTTCTCTTTAGCCACACCTGCCCTCCAGAATGAGGTTGCCCCCGAGATTTGGATGCTCCCCACCCTGTTGTTATTCAGAAGGGCCTTGAAGACCTGGCTCTTTGCCCAGGACCTTTGTGAGGGAGAATTAGGACCTTCATCCTTCTCCTTCTCCTATCTGTCATTATTGAGAATGCTAATGGCACTACTCTGACAACTGAAAATGTAAATGATCTGCAAGCTCTAATAATAAAAATCAAGGACGATAGTGAAAAGAAGCAGGGCTAAAATATAAAGAAGATTAAAATAATGACAACAGGTAAAATAACCTGCCTTGGAATTGATAATGAATTTATTGAAGTGATAAATCATTTCTTTTTTTTAAGATTGACTATCAATAGTAAAAGGACCATCAATAAAGAAATAGATTATAGACTAGCATTTAATAGAGTAGTAATGAAGGTCTTGGAAAAGAGATTGTATGCTGAGATGTGTATATAACTATAAATATCAGAATTGTGAAGGTGATGATCTTCTCCTTAACACTCTGTGGAAGGGAAAGTTGGACTTTAAAGAAGTAGGATAGAAAGCATGTTGATGCTTTTGAAATTTGTTATTGGAGAATAGCATGGATAGCCAAGAAAGCAAATAAATAAATAAATACCATGAAGAATGAAGAAAAATACCTTAATTTTCCTCTTGCAACACTGATTGAAACCCTTGCAGTTTGATCACAACACATAAACCATCTTAAAAGATAGATAGATAGATAGATAGATAGATAGATAGATAGATAGATAGATAGATAGATAGATAGATAGATAGATAGATAGATGGATGGATGGATGGATGGATGGATGGATAGTCTACTAATTGAATCAGTACAGATTGTTAGTATATAGACATTGTCTTTTACCTTTTTAGTCAAAATTGAAAAAAATACTGGATGAAGTTCATATTATAAAATTATTTGCTTGTACTTAAAAACAATCTGAATTTATTATGCTACATTAGCATTAGGATTTGAACATATATGGGTCAAAACATACATAACAGCAAGCTTTCAACAAAAGTTGAAAAGAATACGATAGAGTAAATATGATTCTGAAAAAAATAAATATTTTAGGCTAATGTCTGCCAAGCTTTGTTGCAAACACATGTTCAAATTGCTGGACACAAAGATTGGAATTTTTCCCTATGAGATAGTTGCTTCCAGATTTTGCATTGTAGTGTTTGCCATATAGTACCGGTAGTCATCAACTTACAACCACAGTTAAGCTTGGAATTTCAGTTATAAGTTGAGTCATCATGGACATTAAGTGAGCATAATTGTTAAGCAAATTGCATGATCATACATCTAAATACAGCTTATCCAATGGGGCAGTTTTTGGTGGAAAACAGCAAAACATGATCATGTAATTGCAGTGGGAGTGACTTGTGACCTCCTGCCAGCTTCCCATTGATTTTGCTTGTGGAAAACTGGCAGGAAAGATTTCAAATGATGATCAAGTGATTGCAGGATGCTGCAACTTTTATAAATGTGAGCCAGTTGCTAAGTGCCCAAATTGCAATCATGAGACCACAGGGATGCTGCAGTGGTTGCAACTTAGAGGGCTGGTCATAAATCCCCTTGTTCAGCACTATTGTAAGTTTGAATGATCACTGAAGGAATGGACATAATCAGATTTTTAATTACAAATAAGCAAAGCAAAAGGATCAGAGATTTGTACCAGATTGTACTTTATTGCAAAATTACAATGTTAATACCTTCTCCATTCTGTTTCCGGATAGATCTTTCCCAGAGTTCGTCTCCTTCTCTGTTGGACCAACTCCAGATGGGCTGTGATGAAGCAAATTCAGGAAGTCTAAACATGGAATGCAGAGTCTGTGGTGACAAGGCATCAGGGTTTCATTATGGGGTACATGCATGTGAAGGCTGTAAGGTAAGGATAGCACAAATATTAGATATAACCTTATGAGAAGTAAGACTGTGGGGTCCTTGGTGCTCTCTAAGTTTGGAGGTCTTCTTGCAGATGTTTCATTACCAAATTAGGTAACATAGGAAGTGAGGTTTACTCTTATTTTTATATACTAATGGTTGCCCTGCCAGTGTTGGTGAGAGAGTGTGGTGGGGTTCCTTGATCAAGGTGTTGTCTACTGTTAGCTTGTTTGTGTTGGTCATTCCTTGATTGGGGTATTGTTTATTTCTAGTGTTAATCTTGGTGTTAATATCTGTTCATATGGGTGTTGATTGTTGGGGAGGAGGTGTTTTGGGCTTTTTGATTGTCTCTTTTGAGTAGTATGTAGATGTTTAACTCTGTCTGCCTTGATGGCCAATTTATCTGAGTACCAAGCTTCCAGGAATTCTGTGGCATTTTTGATCTAGGATTGTTCACAATTTTCCAGTTGAAACTATGGTTGACTCTGTTCATGTATTGTGAAATAAAGGAGTTTTCATCATATCTTCTGTCTGCTAGTCAGTGTTCACAGATATGCTGTGCCGATCTTCTACCTGTTTGTCCTACATAGTGGCTGTTACAGTCCTTACACTGTAGGTTGTAGATGACTCCTGTTTTTTTCTCCTGGGTGTGCTGGGTCTTTTGATTTACTTAGGATGTTTTGGAGGGTTTAGTTGGTTTGTGTGCTACGATGATGCCATATGGTCATAATAGTCTGTTGTGATTTCTGATACGTTTTTGCTGCATGGCAGTGTTGTGCTTTATGCTTTTCGTAGCTTGTGTTGGTTGAGTTATGGTGCCTTGAATGGTCGGACACTTTTTGATAAAGCTACATGGATATCCATTTTGTTGGAAGACATTGTATAGTTTCCTTTTTTCCAATGTTCAAGGTTGCTGCAGTGTGTTTGTGCTCATCTAAATAGACAAGCTTTTCTTGTGGGAGATTGAATTGTTACTTTGAAAGTGGAGCACCTGGGTTGTGTGGGAAGTTTTTCCATAGACATGTGTTTCTATTTTATCATCACTGCCTCTGCTTATGAGGATATCTAGAAAAGGGAGTGTGTTGTTGTTTTCTTCTTGTGGATTTTATTCCTTTGAAGATGTTGTTGATAGTTTTGTGTGTTTTCTCTAGTTGGGTCTTTTTTATTATTAGCATTGATGATGTTATCTAATTCGGTAATGAAATATCTGCAAGAAAACAACCAAGACAAGGGAGCACCAAGGAGGCCACAGTTCAACTCTGAGCAAGAAATATTCTCTAGGGAGGGAAAGATGGAACTAGAAAATGTGGAAGTCCTTTTTTTGTTGCTGCTGTTACTTTTCATTGAATCTCTCCTCTCCCAGAATATAGAGATCTCTTTTAGAAATTAGACTGGCTGTATGTGATAATTGAAGCAAGACCTTTGTGTGCACAGAGATGGGAAGACTCACAGATTCTCACAATGGAAGAATGGGTAGTGCAGTTAATGGAAGTAGCTGAGATGGCAAAATTAACTACCTTGATTAAAGAAAAGATTTTGTCTAGCTTTGTTACTACGTGGAAACCACTTTTGGACTTTTTCATAGAAACCAAACAAATGCTATACTAAGTTTGGGATTTGACAACTAGAGTTTATGAGTATAGAAATATAATACTGAATTTTAGATCAAACAGTTAATGTATTGTATATTTGTAACTAAATCAAAGAAAGTTGGAGTTCCCTTTCTGTTTTCTTTCTCCTTATTCCTTTGCACCTTCCTCTTCCATATTTGTTTTTCCTTCTTAATTTTTTTTCTTGTTTATTTATTTTAATGATTTAGAGGATTTATATGGCTGCTCACTCTGGGCAGCTTAAAAGCAATAAAAACCCAATATAAAAAGAATAAAAACAGTAACCTCCCACCTACCCCCACCCTAGGAATAACAAGCAATCAAACGAGCCATTTGATGGGTTCCAACGCACTCTGGGCTCCCCAGGATCACTGGCAGAACCAGATCTTCAGAGCCTTGTGAAAGAGTGTCAAAGTGGGGATCAGTCTAATCTCTGCAGGGATGATGTTCCAAAGAGAGGGAGCCACCATGGAGAAGGCCATTATTCTGGGTCCCACTAGACCCGGGGTAGGCAACCTTGGCTTTTTTATGACTTGTGAACTTCAACTCCCAGAATCCCTGAGCCAGCATGGCTCAGCTTGGAAACCTCTCCCTTTCCCCTCAGCATGGCTGGCTCAGGAATTCTGGGAGTTGAAGTCCACAAGTCATAAAAGAGCCAAGCTTGCCTACCCCTGCACTAGACGTATGTAGAGACTGAATCCGCAACATTCCATGCCTCTCTTTCTAGTGGGTTGGGTGGATGTAATCGGGAAGAGCAGTTCTTCAGATAACCTGGTTCCAAGCCACAAAGGGCTTTAAAGGTGACAATCAGCAGCTTGAATTGCACTCGGAAACAAATCTGCAGCCATTGCAACTCCCGCAGGAGAGGTGACATTTATGCACACCTGGGTCTGCACAAAACCATACAGGCCGCTGCATTCTGAACCGAATTGGAGCTTCTGGAAGCTTTTCAAGGGCAGCCCCATGTAGAACATGTTGCAATAGTCAAGATGGGAGGTGAGATGGGCATGAGTTTATATTTTATTTTTTGTAGAAATTTAATGAAGTATTTTTCTTCAAAGAAGAAGGCTGCAGGGCACCTATTAACAGATTTTGTTCTTCATGGTGCCCAGGGTAAATGCTAATAGTATCTACTGGTAAGTAATAACAAAAAAGATGAGACAACAAGGATGTTGAGAAGTTGGGATTTGTCGATTACAAGTAAAGTCCATCTGGTGGTCGCTTGTGAAACTGCATGCCTGCTTTATTTATATATTAAATATATTTATTTAGGCTTCCCTCCCCCCTCATTATTTTCTTCATGCAGAAGAAAGGTTTTTTTTGTAATATGTTTAAGATATCTACTTATTGCTGAAAATATTGTCCTAAGATCTAAAGTGATAGTAAACCTGGCACTTCTGAAAGGGCTATTAATATCAGAATGAAACATCTTTTTGTTTCCAACATCTGTCTTATCACATACCAACAGGGATTCTTTCGTCGAACGATCCGCATGAAGCTGGAGTATGAGAAATGTGAGCGGAACTGTAAAATTCAGAAGAAGAACCGAAACAAGTGCCAGTACTGCCGCTTTCAGAAATGCCTTTCACTAGGCATGTCACACAATGGTGAGATCTCCCTCCTCTTGCTCTGGGTAGGGGTGAAGCATAGAGTTATAGTGAGATCGGTGGAATTATACATTTACTATAAGATAAAATTTAGTAACGGGAATAAATTTGAGGAATACCTCACTGGGTAGACTTCTGCTTTGAAAAAAAGATATATTTAAGGCATGTGTACCCTGCATACTATTTTAAAATATTTTTTTAAAATATTACAGTAGCTAATAAATCAATATCAAACAAAATGGGTGGTAAAAAATATCATTTGAGCCTAAAATAAAAATATGGTTTGTGCATCCCAAAATATTCGCCCCTGAATTAGTACATTTGCATTTCCAGAACAAAAATAAAATTGGTTTCCCTATGAAATCTATATAAACTTATTCTAAATAATTTAATTGTATTGTATGTCTTTGTTTCTTTTCTTAAAACATTTTGAGAGCGTTCAGTATGTTTCTATGTGTTGATGCCTTTGTTGCATTAAAAAAAACTAAATAAAAAATCCTAGGGTATTTATATGAAGGCACACAGTGATTTTAATGCAGGCTCGTTGCACCAAGCAAAGTTTGTATAGTCAGTGTCCGACTGGACACTGACTATACAATTAAAGTATGGGAATTCGGTGAATGCTGGCCCTTGTTCAAGGTTAGATGGCACTGCAGTAAAAGCTCGGCTTTTGACTATGAAATGGTTAATCCTACAATAATCTACAATATGTCCAAACTGTTGATACTGAATTGAAGACGCATGAACTAACATTTGATCACCTGATCCCAACTGGTATATGGGCTGACCAGAGGCAGAATGATTGCATTTGCTTTAGAGTAGTAGGTAGTAGTTTTCCTCCCAAGCTTGCCTGTGTGTAGCAATATGTTTGTACTGCTGTGCCATAAATTTGAAAATGCCTACTAACTCAGCCTTTCAGTGAGCACAAAAGCACCCATCCAGAAGAATGGAAAGTTTCTTTCCACCAAAAAGACATGCCTTTACTTGCCTGGAGAAGGATATGCTACCTTGCACTCCTCATCAGCATTGTACTTGGGGAGGTAATTATCATTAACTGTGTCACCCTGCATGCGTTTACTTTTTTGTAGAATGCCCTTAGAAAGATATTGCTATTTTTTGGATTAAAATGAATTCATTTAAAATGAAGCTTTGTCTGGGAGCAGGTGTGGGCATAGTAACTTGAACAGTAGATTAGAACCAGATGACCTCAGTTCAAATCCCACTCAACCTATAATGTTCATTTATGACCTTGAGCTAAGTCTGTCTCTCACAGCTGTTATGGTGATAAAATGAGGAACATTGTACAGTATATATTTTTTCTGAACTCTTTGAAGAAAAGGTGGAATATAAACTGAATAAAAACAGATTTATATTTTTCTATAAGAAAAACAAAAAGTTTTAAAAGATATGGTGGCAAGTTAATAAAAATAACTGTCCTTATCCTTTTTAGCTCAAGGTTTTTAAGCCTCCCGCTTTGTTTTGTTTCTTTAGCCATTCGTTTTGGCCGCATGCCAGAAGCTGAAAAAAGGAAGTTAGTGGCAGGACTGACAGCTACTGAAATCAGCTGCCAGAACCAGCAGGTGGCTGATCTGAAAGTCTTTTCCAAGCACATCTACAATGCCTACCTGAAAAATTTCAACATGACCAAAAAGAAAGCACGAGGCATCTTAACTGGAAAAGCCAGTAGCACCCCTGTGAGTACCTCAATTCCAGAGGTTTACATAGTATATTAAGCAAGAAAGATATTCTTCCCAAAAAAATAGTATATAGCCATATTTTTTTAAATGATATTTTTAAACTATGAGTATTATTTTAAAAAATTAGGTGAGATTGGTGTGCTGTATTTATAGATAATTAAATGAACTGCCAGCAATTTACATTCCAGTAAAAGCTATATATTAAACCTGCAATTAAAACTTTATCAATAGAAATGGCCAACAAATATAACCCAACTTAATAGAAATCATATTTAGGTTTCAAAAGCTCCACAAAAAAACTTCAGAGTCCTATGGAAAATCCCAAGATACATGCTAATCAGACCTCTCATGGGAGGCTTTTCCACAGGGCAGGACATCCCATAAAGGCACTTCTGGGGCCCACTCTTCTTACCTCCTGCCTATGGAAAATCCTAAGTATACCCACCTGGAATGACTGCACAGGATAGACTGATTTTACTGTTGTCTTTTTTGAGCTTTTATCAAGACATAAATTGAATTTTAGTATTATTATATTTATATAATTCCATATTTTCATATACAATAAAAATAATGATGTATTTCAACCTGGTTTGACTAAGCTACACTTAACTGAAGAATCTGGCTCTCTGTACATTGTATTCTGTTGATTAACACAAAAAGGGGAGGCTTTAGTGATTAGTAGTGTAAATAATAAGCATTGTCACACTCTGCCTCTATGACCAGGTTTCTCATTACCACATCCTAACTTTATATGTTGTTCTTCATAGCCTTTTGTGATTCATGACATGGATACCCTGTGGCAAGCTGAAAAGGGTCTGGTGTGGAAACAACTGATAAATGGGATGCCGCCCTACAAGGAGATTGGTGTTCATGTTTTTTACCGCTGCCAGTGTACATCAGTCGAGACCGTGCGGGAGCTCACTGAATTTGCCAAGAGCATTCCTAGCTTCATCAGCCTTTACCTTAATGATCAAGTAACTCTCTTGAAATATGGGGTGCATGAGGCCATCTTTGCTATGCTTGCCTCTATCATGAATAAGGATGGACTCCTGGTGGCCAATGGCAATGCTTTTGTGACACGTGAGTTCTTGCGCAGCTTGCGCAAGCCTTTCAGTGAAATCATGGAGCCCAAATTTGAATTTGCTGTGAAGTTCAATGCCCTGGAGCTAGATGACAGTGACTTGTCTCTGTTTGTAGCTGCCATCATCTTGTGTGGAGGTGAGAGATTAGAAAAACATTGAGCCAAGGGGGAGAGGTAATTCATTTTTAGCAAGAGATCAGATTCAGAGCACTTGATAAATCATTTCCCTGTCAGTTTATGTCACAATATTGGGTAACAGTTTCACAGTGCCTAATTTTAATTAATGTCAAAAATCTATTAGATACCTTTCAAAACTTTCCTGCTATTAATAATGAGAGTAATATATGTGTGGATATAAAATCAATTTAATATCAGTGATATTAAAATTAACTGTATAATAAGATGAGTAAAAATATTATCAAACAATTTCATTCAATACTAATCAAACCTTTATTACAGTCATAGACCGGCATATATTTACTACTACATTTATTTGTTAGATCCTGCGCTTCCTCCAGAATTTCAAAGCATCATATATAGCATTTTCTCCACACGTTTTTCCATAAAATAACATCCTAGCAAAATTGGCTGAGATGGCCCAAATAGCCAACTGAATTTTCATCACTGAGGATGAATCTAGGACTTCCTACTCCTAATAAGTACTTTAATCACCACACATTTTGACAGTATGTTAATGTTATATTTTAAAGATCAGTAGTAAAAGTTAAGACTCAGTTGAAAAACAAGAAGGCATACATTGCTACTGAGTGAAATTAATATAGTCTAGTCCAGTCATTTAATTCTTGTAAATTTTGGCTGTTATTCTGTTGCAGAATCTTAGTTGTGCTATAACCAGACTGCAATAACTAAACTAAGACTCCTTAAGCTTCTCTGTCACTATTTTGTGAATTAATAAAATTAGAAAAAAACCACCCATAATTTCACTGGTGTTCTTACATATAATGAATTGGTATAATTTGAAAAGTTTGTTAATTGTAAGAATGAGTATAGCTATAACTATAGAGGAAAATTATCTTTTAGGGGGGGGGGGGAACTCTGTTCCCATCATCTTCAATCAGCTAAGCCAGTAGTAAGAAATAATGAGAACTGAAGTCTAAAAATTTGAAAGGTGTCAGATTGCTGATCTTTAAAGGAAATGATAGTCTTGGATGCTCTTGTTTATAGAAAAAGAATTTTTACTGTCCATCAACTTGTTTGTAATATTGATAAAAATAATCTTAAAAGAGAAACTTCCATACAAGAAGACAAGCCTAAGATGATTTTTTTTTAAAAATTCAAAATATTTATTCCTCCCTGAAGAAATAATGGGTAGAGCACACAGTCATGCTTTTGTGTTTTGTTATTTTGCTTGAAAATGGTTTTGTTCTCAAATCTTGCTGGCTTTCCTAATTTTTCTGCCATCTTTTATATTCAGCAGCATTATGATTTGGCCCTGAGGTTATAGATATGTTAAAGTCTAGGAGAGGAAGTTTAATATCAGTTAATGTTCCTATATATATATATATATATAAAAACTCCCTAAGCATGATATTGTGGAACAAGCTAGCCTGACATTTATTTTGTAAATATTCCTGAGATAAAAATGTAGGAATTTTGAAAAAACTAAATTACAAAGTCAAATTTTTATAAATAACTTGGTGTATTTCTTTTCTTGTAGACCGCCCTGGCCTAATGAATGTTAAACAAGTGGAGGCGATACAAGACAATATTCTCCAAGCTCTTGAGTTTCATCTACAAGCTAATCACCCAGACATTCAATACCTCTTTCCTAAGTTGCTGCAAAAAATGGCTGACTTGAGACAGTTAGTGACTGAGCATGCACAGTTGGTGCAGAAGATCAAAAAGACAGAGACAGAGACTTCTCTGCATCCTCTCTTACAGGAAATCTACAAGGACATGTACTGAGGAACTTATATTTATCAAATAGGTGAAAGCCATGGAATCCAGCAAATGCTTGTATATTAGCAAAGAAATCTCTGTGTCTTCCATTTCTTTACTAGAATTACTTTACTAGATGATTGGTTTATGCTGTATAAATTTGAAATTTACCATTTGGTATAGACCAGAGGGCTTCCGTTAACATACACTAAATGAAACTTAATTTGTTGCTACAGTTCAGCTCTTAACCCTATTCCAGAGCTGCTGAGGTATTTACACACACCCTATAAATGTACTTGAATTGTTATATTAGATAACATGAATTGTGCCCAAATTATTATAGCAAGTAGTACCTTTAATTGACAGGTACAAAAATAGCACTTCATCACAATCCTTACATATTATTTTTATATTTCAGCAATTTTGGCTGGCCCTAAGTGTACATTATAGGATATTACAAGGAAATTATATGAATACAGGTAGTCCTCAACTTACAATAGTTCATTTAGTGAACGTTCAAAGTTACAATGGCACTGAAAAAAGTGACTTATGGTGCTTTTTCACAGTTACAACTTATCCAGCATCCCCGTGATCATGTGATCAAAATTTAGGTGCTTTTGGTTCATACTGATGAGCACTGCTGTGTCCCAGGGTCATGTGATCACCTTTTATGACCTGACAAGCAAAGTCAATCGGGAAGCCCAATTCACTTAACAACCGGGTTACTAACTTATCAACTGCAGTGATTCACTTAACGACTGTGGCAAGAAAGGTCGTAAAATGGGACAAAACTGAATATTTCACTTTTGGGGGGGAGAATACAATGTAAGAAAGATTTTAAAAGGCAGCAGACAGATTCCTGTGAAATCAGGGTGATTTACGGATGGTAAATAGAGTCAATAGTATTTTATTTTGTGATCTGTGATGCAGCTTCTTATCATGTCCTTTCCAGGAGGAGGATTCCTAATAATTGCACTTGTGTCTTTCCCACAAGCACAAACACCATCCTACCTTTCATAACCAGTAATTAGGGATACAAGTAATCCTTGACTTACAATCACAATTGGGACCAGAATTTTCATTGCTAAGTAAGGCAATTGTTAAGTGAGTCGTTAAGTGATTTTACGACCTTTTTGTCATAGTTAAGTGAATCATTGCAGTCAGTAAGTGAATCATGCAGTCTTTAAATGGACCTGGCTTCACTCATTGATTTTGTTTGTTGTTAGCTGGCTGGGAAGGTTGTAAATGGCTACCACGTGACTCTGGCACAATGCCACTATTATAAATGCATGTTGGTTGCCAAGGGCCCAAATTTTGATCATGTGACCATGGAGGTGCTGTAACCATCATAACTGCAAGGCCTGGTCATAAGTTATTTCATCAGTGCCATTTTAACTTAAAATGGTCACTAAAGAAATAATTGTAAGTCAAGGACAACAATTGTTTTACGGTAAGTTTTCCATGTTCAGAAAACATTTAACAATTCAATAGTCTTATCAAAGATTCACCAACAATTTAATATTTCCCAAGCATTTGAATTGGGTTACAATTTTGACTCCTTTTTCTTTCATGATTGTTCCTGCTTTATTCCATAGGAGTGCCAGACAATTTTTGTTAATATAAATTATCAGCATAGGTCTTCTTTACAACAGAAGATTCTTGAGTGTAAGGACTTTATTGTCATATTGATGTGCCAGTAATATGGAGTAATTATGCCTATACCATGTTGATGTAATGTGGCGTTTGTTAGACTTCTTCCTTTGGTAACTTCCAATGTGTCCTGAGTGCAAAATAGATCAACATGGTGGTTGAATGTGGCATTAAGAGCATTGTCATGTAATTGTGGTAATGTTTTTCTTGCTACATTGTTAAGTAGATTCTTAACTTTCAGAGAAGAAAAACTACTAAAAAAGGAACCGTGAATACCAAAAATAGTATATCTACACATGTATACAGCAACAGAATTTTAGATGATGCAAAAATTACTTAAATTGGCTGGTTGTCCTGACATTTCAGCTCAAATCATGTAGATTTTCTGCTTGTTCTATATAATACTTCAGTTTTTCATTTTAGATTTAGGTTATACCTAAATTAACTGACAACTTTAAGTCTTAATTCATGACACTAATAACGAACAATATTTTCAAACTGACTTTTTAAAAAGTACCATCATTTGGGGGGAGAGGGGAAATGAAGCAGTGTTTAGCAAGAGCTTTACATGGAGGGAGCCTCCAATTCACAAAACCAGTTAAAAGAATCATGAGGCGAGTGATAAGAAAGTTTCCTCCTATGCCACTGCCACTAGGTAGGTGTGTGTGTGTGTGTGTACAAAAAACAGTTTGACCGTGTACAAATTAGCTTTCTATGCTTTTTTTATGCTCTTAGCTATCCAAGAAGGAAAATACTAAACAATTGGTCTGTCTTTCTGAGACACAAATAGCAGAAAGAAAAGATATACCTTAGGCAACCTGTACTCTTGCTTTAGCTAAATACCATTTTTAGGCGAGAACAACGTAAGGTTACCATTTAGAGATGAGGACTAATTTGCAAATAAGCATGTACTTTAAGTGAAGGAATCCCACATTCTGTTTACAGGTAGGACTTGGAGAGACATCTGAAATCCTGGAATACTACTTTCAGTAATCACTGTAAACAGTACTGAGATAGGGCAACTTTCTATTTTGCCTCATTAGTTTTATATTTAGCTGTCTTAGCCAATTAATATTCCATTGTGACTCATAATATATAATTTGGTAGACCCAGAGCTTTAAGAAATAAATGCTTATTTTTTTAAAAAAAGTGATCTGCAAACAGAAATAACTGAATGGAAATTTGAATTGGGCAGCCGTGCTGCTTAAATCTTATTATAATCTAGGTAATTTACTACCAACCTTTAAACAAAAACCAGAATGAATTTTGCAAGCTGTAGATACTCTTGCAACCAAAGCATATTTTTGGCATTAGGCTTATGTTTAACAACTTGCCTAATAGATGCATCCAGTTAGGATTTATGAGTAGGTTGATGAAGTTACTGAAAAATGGATCAATACTTTTCTCTGCTTCTTTATGTCTGTGATTGCAGAAAGTATTCTCCTTCGTTGGTAATATCTTCCTTGCTAGAAATCCAATTTTTTTAAATATTGATCCTTTCTTTGCCAGCCACCTTAAAAATCCAGACAACTAGACTTGTTGGAGACAGGTAAAACATCTTTTACTGGTGATAATGCTTTAAAATACTTAAGGGACCGTATACACATCTATGCAGAAATAAATTATTTGGAGATTGTTTTGCAGCCATAATATTCCTCAGTTACCTTTTCTGCTTCAAACATTTTTTCCATGTGTTCCAATTTCAGACTGCCAGTACTATAGTTGCAAATCCTGTGCTGTTTTTCTATGGTAGTTGAATCCATAATAGTTAAATAATCTTTTGTGATCTTCATGCATAGGCTAGTTCCATTAATCACTTTGACATGATAGCTACCATGTATAACTAGCCAGAATGTTGTTTTTCTTGCTAACTTAGAGGAAGCAAGGTGTTTGTCCCTTCTTCCAACTCAGCACAGATGTACAGCATGTGCTTTTGCTGTATCTCTATTTCCAGAATGAAATAAGTGGGAAGTTCTACCTCTACCTTGCAGGAGTGATGTGAAATGTGTTTTATTATGAGAATTCATGCTTTAGGAGCCACCGGTGAGGAAATCACTAAAAAAATGGCTTGTGATTTTTATATTTCAGTATCTGCCTTAGACCTTCATTTTAGCCACTATTACTGAAGGCCTCTTTGTCCACATCTTGCTGTTCCTCAGGAGATGCTGGACAAATATTTGCAGCACTAGAAGAGTCTGCACTTTTCTTTTCTTTTTTTTGCTGAGAGTGTAATGTCAGAACAATGTAGCAATCCTCAAACTGAAATGTATATTTTTGCTAGAAGTTCAAATTTCAGATGTTTTAAAAACAAATAGGGACTGACAACATTAAAGATAGAAATAAATATTTAAGAAATAATTACAATGTAGCTCTTCTTTTACCTATTCTATCCTTAGCTTCTCCGAGGACCTAGATTTAATTTTTCTGTTAACAAATTTCACAAAAATGCTGAACAATATCTCTCGGTCACAATGTATTATGCAATTTTTTTTGAGTAATGGTAAAATCTTTTTAGGGCAAAATAGATTTCTAGTCCTTGGGTTCTTCAGTTTGTTTTACTCTGAATGTGAATCTTTTTTAAAAAAAAATGCTGTATTTAAACTGAAATAGAAGCATACTGAAACACAAAAGCCAATTTAAGATATACTTTTGGAAGCACAAATATAAAAATGATTAATTTTGTCTCTAGCATTAATTTAGACTTTCAGGTATAAAATAGATCACATAATGTTTTCCTATATGCAGATACTATGAAATGCCATTAGTTTCAGAGTCTTGTGTTTATACACATAGATCTATTTGCATAAATAAACCCACAAGAGACTGTCAGTGTGACATGCTGTTAATCCAAACAACAGTTAATTACTTTGTTTGTGCGGACTTTGTTCATTTCAGTATATATAGCCTTATCCCAAACTGACTACAATTTGAGCTTAGACATAAGAGCTGATAGGTAGGGTGCTGACACAAAATTCCAAAAAAGTACTTGTACAAATGATATCTCATTGAGCATAGTAGGTTATATTTCTGAGAAAAGATATATGGGATTTCAGTACATGTTTCTACATAGTTGTGCAGGTTATTTCATGTTGAGGCCTTTAAAAATAGTGCTTCATACATGTAAAATACTTAAGTTTTCATTTTAGTAAGACTAACTTGGCAGCGGATCTTTAACTGAATAAATGGCCTCATGGTAACTATTCAATCTCCTTCTAGCTTAAGCAGTTGTTAGAGATTGCTTTATGAAATCCATTGCTCCCAATGCATGAAAATGCTTGTAACATAAGTTATATTAACTGCTAAGAATGTCCAGGACTCTTGTGTTGTTGTTTAACTATGCTCCTTTTTAAATTTTGAATTTGGATTCAAGCTTACAGTGCTTGTAGCTGTTTCACATAATATCAAAAAGACATACATAATATTGCTACCTCATTTCCCCACATTGTATAATCTGATGTTTAAATATACAGTGATCTATTTGTACATACTATGAATTGGAAATATGCCTTGGCTCTATGAGAGCTGTTCGCAGGTTCTGAAACATGAGGAAAATATTTAAAGAAGCATGAGGAGAAAAAACCCCAACAAATGGAGAAAGGTAATATTTTAGTTTATTGGTGAGTAAGGAAAGGAAGAGTCTGTGCAGATTTTACTCCGCTAGGCATAGCCAACAGTAGGAGGCAGTGCTCATCTCCATTTCAAGGCCATGCTGTCCAAAGACATGTCTATGGTCATACGGCCAGCATGACATCAGGGA